GTAACCAAAAAAGTGTGAGTCAATAATGGAATAAATCATTGTTTCAAAATGTCAATTTAGACTACTTTTTTACTGCTTTGTTTAGTTTCGTTAGTTGTTTTCTATAGACATCAGAATTGATCATTTGGTCAGTAATAACAGTTCAGAGTAGATAATTTCTTCTTAATCAACTTCAACTGGACAACCAGAGCGTTTTTCATCTTCGAGTGAAAAATCACCAGAACAAAATTTGTCAAACCAATTTTGACACTGCCATTTTTTCAGAGCTTCGCAACCATAAACAGATCATAACTGTTTGTGAGAATCCCGTCTCTTTACTTTTGCAGAAATGAAAAAGCAAAATATGACAAATTGATTTTATTTATCATTTCCAAACGCAATAGATCAAAAAATTATTTTGTGTGGTTATCTAATGTACCTGCTATCCATTAACAGAAGATATTTTACATCTGTACTATATCAGTAAACTTAATAATTTAATAGAAACCATCTAAGTTGCAAATCAAACTTTTTTAGTCACCAACCTAATATTGCACCAACATATAGAGTGTAATACAACTGTTATTGTTGTGCTTAATTCATATTTAATTTATTATCAGTATTACCAAAAAATCTAATACAATAAGAATTGTTGAATTGATCGATTTTTACCTAAAAAATTACGTATTTAGCCATGACAATTAGAACTAAAATCGCCGAAAATACAACTCTTTTCCTTTCCAAAAGAAACAACAGTTCTCGATTAAATATTCTCAGAGTAGTACGGTGTCCTTATAATATTTTCCTACATGTCACATTCAATATTGCATTTCAAACAATTATAATTTTATGTATCATACCTGCAAAAATTCAATTTGCACAAATGAGTAATTTAATTATCAGCTATCTCACTACTAATGAAAATAAAGTCCAATGTGCGTGGAATTGTTTTGTGTTGTACTATACTAAACGTTACTAAATTTCATTATGCAATAAGCACAAATAAAAGTTAAATAAATTTTGCAAATGATGTTACAAGACAATTGTGGAAATATAAATGAGTACAAGTTTCTAAAATAATTCGTTCATAAACTTAATAATTATTGCGTTGAAATAGCTTGTTTTATAACACTACATACATGAAAATTCTCATAAAAACGTTCCGTAATAATTATGTGTAAGTAAATAATTTCGAAATTGGTGTTCTCTAAAGGCTACTAAATTGATTGAATGGAAATGAATTCTAAATATCCAATCAACATGAACTTTAAATTTTATTATTTCATATAATACAAAAAACGCAAAAAAATGTAATAACTTATAAAATTTAAAAAGTGCAATAACCAACCATTATTTATTAATAATTTTAGAAAAATGTCTATAGATAATGCGGGTTATTTTAATCGCAAAAAGTAGAAAATAAAACTTTTTGGATATCATGGTTGGATGGTTCCAAAACCTTTTGGCATGATTCAAAAAAATATGTTACTTGTAAAATAAAATAATTGGAAGAAAGAATTGATAAAATTTTTGCGAAAGCAAATCCAGCGGTTTGGAGATATTTTAAAATACCCATTTGTCAAGAATGATTATTGGACATTTGTAATTGTAAATAACTTATTATTGATTTGTAAATAACTTATTAATGAAAACAGTAATTGGGAAATGTAGTAATCTTTAAACAGAACTAAAATTGATGCCAATACTTATTATTAGAAGATCTATTACACACATTTATGAAAAAACATGACCCCTTGATTTACAATTCAGAAGTTTTAATTTTTTTAATAACCTATACTGATATTTATCAATTAGTTAAAAATTATTATGTTTTTTTACATTACAGTTTATACCGAAATGCACCCAAATTCACCCATATAGATCTGAAATGTACAAATGCTTTAGAAAAAATGATGAGTAATTGCTTTTTTAAAGCATTAAAAAACATTTTTTCTTATAATTAGTTCTTTTATAGATATTCGACGTTATTTTGAAAAAATAAAAAGACACCGCTGAGAGGGATGTCATCCCTCCGGAAAATGGCAAAGGAGTCTAAATTATATTCACTTTTGAACTTGAGAATGAGATAAACCGAATTTCAAAATTTCACACGAATTGGAGCACAGTCAAAAAATTCAGAACCAAAGTTGAGTGAATATTCCGTATCCAATGGCAAAAATATGAAAATACTAACGTTTGTATGTGGAAAAGAAAAGGGCTGTTTGTAGGGTTTTCCCGGCAATTCTTCGATTTTTTCTCGCCGTAAGAACCATCCCTGAACTTCAACGAACATTTAAAAGAAATAATTGGCCAAATTTGTCTAGGCGTTATTGAGTTATTGGAGTGAGGCGTTATCGCAACACATTTTGCGATTCATTTTTATATTATATATATAAATTAATCTTAGAAGTCCTTGACTGGGATAAAATTCTTACCGCGTCCTATCAAAATTTTGTCTAGGAAAGGAGCAAAGTGGGCAACAACTAATAAGTTTTTTTTTTCAAAGTACTTATTTTTAACTCTAAAACATCTATTCCTTACTATACACACGTCCACATCATAGTAAATTAATTTAATATCAACACGTTTCCTTTCAATCACGTTGTGCATAATGAAATGCCTAGTGTTTTGCTTTATTACTATTGTTTCCGTTAACTACAAAAGTAAAACAATATAAAATTTAATTTGACATATATATTCAAAAGCAAATGTAATAAATCTTTCACTGTATCATATGATATAACCGATCCATTGTATCATAATTCCCATAATAACAATCTATCTGTAGCAAATTGAATAATCTAGTGTTATATATCAAGTCTGGGACGTGCTTTATTACGAAATTAAAATTGCTATGAATAAAGAATATGAAATAATTAAATATAAAATAACACGTATAGATATTTTAATTATTTCATTGTAGAGCGAGTGTTGTTTTCAATAAATAAAAAAATAGCTAAAATCTTGTTTATAGAATATGCTCAATCCTCGATGAAATAGAATTTGTAAATCGTGTACGATTTATTTTGTCTACTGTTTTATCCCACAATGTTTTCTATAGATGACAATTCAAACAATTGTTCTATGCCTATATGCGATGATTTTATTGTTATAAACCCGATGTCACTATTGCTTGACATCAATCAGTCTGTCTCAGACGGATTACGAACCTCTGGAATCTCTGTTCACAGTTCTAACCACTTGTTCACGAATGAGTTCAAAATAATTATTTAAAAATAGTCAAAATTGCAGCATTGTAAATTTTGTCGCTTATTCAGTTGGCAGTTTATTTATGTTTATATAGTCAAATAAAATAATAACTAAAAGAGAAATCAACTATTTTTTAAACAATAATTAAAATAAATACCATAACTATAAGGAAATAAATAATTAAAAATTGTATCATACATTTTTTTTAATTATCATTTGTTAAAAATTAAAAATTTAGTTTGAATTGAAAATTACTTTACAATCCATTGAATAAATAAGACATACCATAGCTAACAACTATAAATTCTAATTAGATTAATATAAATATAATTGTTAGGACGTATTTTTATTTTATTATATTGGCCATGAAGGCGACAATCTTCATGGCATTGAGCTTTTACATGGGATGGTTGCTTCACCTGTAAAAATTAAAAAAATTCAATAAAAAATATGAAATTATAGATGGAGCCCGAGTAATATTGAACTAGTTTTGCAAAAATAAAGTTAAAAATTCAATCATAAAATCAAATTTATTACTTTTGCAATGAAAGACATTTAAATAGTAGCTAATAGATACTAATAAAATATAATATCAAAAATTTATTCATGAAATAAAATTTGGTACTATTGCAACAAATGGCAATTAAATATAAGCTAATTGATACATGTATATGCAAATTATGTATTTAGTCGAAAAAATACATATTAATATTATCAATAAATATTTGAAACGTTTATAATAAAAGCATCCGGCAATAATAACTTACTTTCACAAGTATCTATTAATTAATGACAATTTAAATTCGATCGCCATAAAAAATTTACGACCGTTGTTTGGTATAATTTAATGACTATTTGCCCGTGGTCAAAATCAAGAGTTATTATATGTCTTTCTACATTGATTATGACATTAAGAATGCAAACAAATTAATTTGTAGAATTGATTTGTAATAGATAGCTATTTGATTGAAAGTAACTGAGAGTAAATTCAATATTATAGTTACAGATGAAATTTAAATCAATAATGTAGAGCACTTACCTGAAATGTATTAGTTTTATTAAATTTATAATTGGTAATATATTATTAAAGGTTCGAGTATAATTTCAATTTAATATATTTAAGTGCACATACTAATGTTGGATAACAATCGTTTTCTGGTGATGTTTTCTTCAAATTCATGATTGATTATGCTATAATACACGCAAACATATCTGTTTATTCAATTATATATCAATCTTTGAAGCAATAGTTTTTACTTCCCTATATCATATTTAAAATAATGTGCATATGTAGCTTTTTACATATATTCCTTCGTTTTCAATTAAAAATTGCAAACTTCTTCTTAAAGACGCTTTTTAAAAGACAACATAGTACTTGAATTAATGCTATTTGATATATTTTGTTATAAAATTTATATTACTAAATCTTCAACATGAGGCTGTAATACCGCAAAATGGGATATTAATACATGAAAACATATTTCCATCCATATTTTCATTCATGCTCGAGTAAGTGAAAATTGATATCACTACTGCTTGACCTCATATCTTGAATGGGTATCGAAATTGAAAACTTTGACTAACAGTCAAAGGCCAAGGTTCTTACTACTGAACCACAGGGATGCTGATCGCTTAGCAAATTCATAGCAATTGGACAGTTTTTAGTACCATTTTATGTGAAAAAGCAGCGTAACATAGCGCTGCCATAACAACGCTTTGTTACCGGAAAATTGGCCTCAATATATTGCAACCTGTGTGAATTTCTTGTAAATTTCAATAGTCACTTACAAAATTTATCTAAATATTTTCAGAAATTTGATGGAAAAAGGTGCTTCTCAACCTTGGGCCCAAGCTTTATTCGAAGCAACAGGAGAGGATAAACTGGACGGGCAAGCCTTAAGAGAATATTTCAGGCCCTTGGAACAATGGTTGCGCAGCGAAAATTTGCGAACTCAAGAACAAGTTGGATGGGTTTATGATGGCGATTACTGTAAACATAGGTTTGTTAATAAATAAGTCCTTAAAAACAAAAACCGATAATAAACTTTCAAGCAAATTTTCAAAAAAGCTTTTTTTATTATTATTAACTTGAGGTAAGATAGTAAAACCATGCAAAAGAAGTCTGGATTCGCAACAATTCCAGATATGAACATATCTGTTTTTAGGGCTCTCTGTTACTCTTCTATATTGAAAAAATTATTTTGTCCTTCCATAATTGATGATAATATTTTTATCCCAAATAGACCCATTTAATTAGAATATTCAAAAAACTGAAGTATGAAAATAAATTTCGCTTTCAGCTAATAAATGATTCTAGAACAACTTTTTATTTCTGGAATCGCTCTTGAGTAACCATATGAATGCAAGGTCATTTTTTACGTTCGTTTTATAATTTCCATTTATTAATTATAGTTTATTAAACGCTTTAAGCGATTGTTTATCTAATTATGCTATCTTTTCAATTAAAACATAGAGCTAATTGGAATTGAAATTAAATGGTATAAAATTATATAGAATCGTATATTTTTAAAGGAATAAAATGTGTGAGTCCTTGACAAAATTTTATTTCGATAGATATAACCATATTATTACTATTGAGTAATAATATTTTCAAACTGAATATTACATATAAATTTATAATATTACTCTTATATTTTTTTAAATATATTAACTGCAGTACAATACATATTTTATTATTTAGATAAATATTGTGCAACAACTACAATTTTAACTGAATTTCCAAGTCTTACAAAATCTGAGATCTATTTCACTTCAGTATTAAATATCATATTCTGTTGTAGTTAAATAATAGTACAATTTTATTTATAAGATAATATTTTCTTGTGTGTTTTTATTTTTATGCTTCCACTGGTTTTATCAAGGTATTTTTTATAATGACTGGTTTTATAATGAATTTAAAAAAAATATCTTTAATTTGCCAATAGGTTACCACTTTCGAACATTCTTAACTAATGATATAATTAATATTAATTAAATACTGATAAATGTATTAAGTTTTCTTAAGTTTTCATGGTCAATTCTATTTTTGATTTTTTTAGTATTTAACTATTGTGAGTTTTTATAATTATTTAATAATTATTCTTATTTATTTTTGTTACAGTATCGAAACTGCAGGATTGCAAGTCTTCGGCGGATTCTACAATTCATCACCGAAAATAAAACTGGATAAATATATATTATCAATAATATGTATACTATTTTATTTTATGAGTTAAATGTTAAATACTATTTTTTGATATTTTTATAATAATAAAATGTAGACTTCTTAGAAATATTTTTCTAATGTATGATATTAATAATTGTAGATAAATAGCTTTAAAATGTAGCTTTGTTATAGTTGTATAAATAAATATATAATTTCGAAGAGTCAAATTGAAGTTTTAAATTATAAATTTAAATCAAATTAATTTGCTTATATTTGAATCATTTTAAAATAACATTTAAAAAAATGTTTATTAAATTATTGAGCAAGAAAGAGGAACTCTTGTCGTATGCAACTCAGACCGAGGGTCCAGCAAACCCCGCGGTGTTAAAACGCTCGCCGTGGGCAGAATATAGGCTCAATTAAAAAGAAAACAGTATACAAAAAACTTAAATATTGTGGAACAAGGTATTTAAAAAAATCATAATTTCAAGAGTTTTAACTATAACTAAGTTTAACGATAACTAGGTTACCCCTTAAGTAGACCCTTCGAACTAGAGTCTAAAGTGAGGACAACCCGGACTATGGAATGTAATGGTTTCAAATTTGACTCTGAAGGTGGCGTTGGAATCCAGTAGAAATTTTAAATCTTTGTTCACATTATAAACTAATTTGATCGTTTTTCTAGAGCACTTATGCTATAACACTTAATAAAATAAAACGAAACATTCGAAGTATTATTCAAACCGTATAATCAAGGTAGCTTATAAAAATAAGAGTAACTTCATATTTAACACATTTACCAATTTATTTCGAAGAAAAAATATTTGATTATAACTTTCATATATTTTTTGTTCAACTAATTGCTCCATAAAACGCATTAAATTAACTGGTGTAGTTGTCGCAACAATAAATTATACGAGAAATACTTTCACATAAATAGAGTAGCAGAATAATATTTTTACCGGAATAATTCTTACGATCAGTGACAAAGTTAGTTTATGTAACACGTGGATATTGTTAGTTAGTTTTTTTCTTAAGTATGTAGGTTTCGTTAATAAGACTATTAAAATATACTCTTGGTATTTTTTGTACGTTTATATAATAAGGAACTATGTAGATTGATAATGTAATTATCTGCACATAAAATTACGTGCTTGATAATCATTTAATATAACAATTTAAAACTTATAAGAAAAATGAAAATTATTGATACTGATACTATTGAAAATGTTAGAAGTATTAGTTAGCAGTTTAATTATTTCCAGTTTTTAGGTTCTTATAATTATATCACTGGTGTAAAGTGCAGAGAAATCTATTTAGGTCACTTCCTAAATAAACATTTCAAGAAACACAAATATTGCTTACAAAAATTAAAATACAAGAATAGTGTAAGTTATTTAAATTGTCTATATATTGACAGTTTGATTGATATTCACAAATCACGCATTAACTGATCAAAAATTTTAAAAATGTTAGAATTTGCAGATGACGTAGATGAATTTTTAGTATGATATTATGAAAATTTTGAATTCTTACAATTAATAATTTGGCTAATTGCAATTAGTATTTTGGCTTATATTCATGTGTGTGAATTTCATGCATGTGTTTCCAATTTGGTCAAAATATAACATTTCAACTTCCAAATTTTTCAACTTATAATTTATAATACCTACTAATATTCATAATACAAAAAGATTACGAGTACTAAGTACTACTCATTTAACGTGCGACTTCAAAAAATATAATAAATTATATTACATATTACTAACAATAACTAAAACAGATGATTTTGTAAGTGTATATGATCATTTTCATGATTTCATTAAAAATTATATTTCTTTAAATCGAAATTTGAAAATGGTTTAGTTTTTTTGTGAAAATAACAATAATTACTTAGTTGTAAGTATCTGTATAATAAAAATACTTGAGCACTTTCCAGCACCAATATTTAAAATTAATTAATATCATTTTTATCAACAATTGTACAATTAACTAAATATATTGAAAATATTTTTTTAAGTCTTTGACTTTGACAATTAGATAAAACTATAAAAAAATTTCAAGAATGGTAAATTTTTTCGCAATTAGTTTTAAATTTGACCTAGTATTATTAGTAAGAACTTTTCAATATAAGATATACTAATATACCAGGTATATCAATGTCTTTGAAATGTATAATTTTATTTGTAAATTATTTTTTTTACATATCCGCAATTTTTGGCACCATGACAGTAATGCAGCCTTCAACTTACAACCACGAGTTTCCAAATCTAAATCCTGCGTTTCGTGCAACGCATATCAAGCAGCAGCGATATCAATTTTTACATGTAAATATAAATAAGAAAGTATAGATCCAAGTAAAAACAGCCTTATTGGGATTTGCTGAGGATTACAAATTATTACTAGAAAATCAAAAATATTAACTTGAAACATACAAAATAATTAGATAGAACAACCATCGATTTACCTTGTAATGACTATCTGCAAAATCTAAAGAAAGAGTTAAAAAATGTTTTAATGTTGTAAAAAATAATAGATAGATTGTAAATCGTGTGACTAAATGTAATAAATAATTAGAATTTCTTGTGATTTTTATAAAGCAAACATAACTAATACCACATTTATTAGATGTTTAAAAATGCCACACAGGTCATCCAAATGTTTAATATAAAAATTATAATATTATTATTAAAAAGATTTATTTTTATTCATACAGTTTTTTACAGTGACTTATTTATTAAGCAATTGTCATTAAATGCAAATAATTATATCATAAATAATCAAACGGTAGGTAGGTACATTAGTAAAACAAAACAGTATAAAGTGGATACGCTTCACATATTTGAATATCCACTTAAAATTACATATGACCATTATTATGGAGCAAATATGTAAGAATACACTATAATAATTTCAAGTATTGCAAAATTGTCGTGGAATCTAGTAAACAACAAAGAAAGTATGTTGTGTTACAGAAAATTTCAATGTCACACAATCGGACGGAATGAAACCGCACGGTGTTGAGCAAACCTTGGAACGAAACGTTACGAAAGAATTTCAGGATGAAAGTCGATGATTTTTTTTATTCCGATCGAATCGTAGATGATATAAATCATTAAATTATTCCAAACGTTATCGTTTTGCTTTAAATTGTTTTGGCGAAAGTCGAAAATATGTATGAGTTACGCTTGTTAGATTAGAAAATGGAATTAAGGTAAACGACAAAATAACCAATAAAAAATAAGGTAGAAAACATTGACGAAATTTTGGGAAAAACGCATTTCTGACAGTTGTTTGTTAAGAATTATATCTAAAAGCAAAATTTTATTTTTGTGCAATTGCTTTCATCAATATATTTTCGTATCTCAATCAGGCAGAGATGTCTGGTATAAGATTTTTTTTGTCAATCAAAACTTTATTCAAGTAGTATAAGAGATTATGAAACAATTTTCATGTTTCATATACATATCATTCATATCTATTTCATTCTACATTTATAAGTAATATATTTAAATATCTGTAAATATCTTTTCAATCTCTATCATCTTCAATTTTTTTTAATATTCTTTATTTTTCTTTTGAAGTTATTGTCATCACTGGTCATCTTAAGATTGGAAGTTTATTGGAAGGGCCCCGAGTTAAATAGAAAAAGCTCTGGTCAAATCTTGACCATATTTATAGAACAAAATTTATAAAATCATAAACAATCTTTTTCACCTTTTTAACCTTTTAACTTAAGAGTATGTTATAGTAATAGCAAAAAAATTAAAATGAAAATTTCTACATGCTGTTGTGCCAGTATTGCAGTTTTATGGTTTTTGAATATAAATATAACAATTGACACTTTTTATAACTTATATATTTATTTACTAATTTAGCTGCTACGTAGATGCGAAATAATTCAAAGTTTCAATTGGAATGCATAATTGAGGCATGTTTAGCATAAAGAGGCCGAAAAAGTCTAATTTCCAGGTTGTAATATCTTACAACCTAATTATTTAATGCAAAAACAGGCATATTGAGTTATGGGATGGCATAACAGTATCTTTACATATCAAAACCTTCCGCACATTTTGGCAAACCTTATGATTTAAACAAATGAACTGAATTGTGCGTTCATATATGTGTGTATGAGTATGTGCGGATACAATTTTTCGTCGTCGTTTTTGAGAACACTGATTAACCGATTTGAATGATTCAAAAACATATTTTTCTATTTATGGGGATACGTGCAGATTAGTTTTTCAATGATATGGGGCAAAAAATCACGAAAATGGCTTTTTAGTTTTTGAGAGAACAGAAATGCCAATTTAAACGAATGCCAATTCACAAATCTTTTTACTTGTATTAACTGAATGCAGAACTGATGAAATTTTCTTAAGGCAGGTCCTGCGTTTTTAGGGGTTCCGGTGAAATAGTTAAAAAATGCCATTGGACAGTCAAAATTAAACATTAGACATATGCATATCAGACTATCTGATCTGATCTTTCATAGGCAAATGATCTTTTATAAGCAATAAGTACAAATTTTGTTTCCAATTCTTTGGACAGATTTTTAATGTTTTGTGTTCATTTATATAGTTTTAAAAAAATTCTTCGACATTTTCGACACTATGGATCAACCAAATTAAATGAGTTTTAAAATTTTCAAAATAATTAAAAATTTTTAAAAATCTAGTTTATTTCAAAATTTTCAAAAAGCCGATTTTTTTGAATTTTCAAAGTTTTTTCAAAGCTCGATGCCATGCACTACTAGTTTTATTATATTTTTAAATTTTATGAGCTGTTGAGAGGTCTTCTTAAACGATGTTAATTTTCATAGATGGTCTTTAGGTGATAAATTTATTATTACTATTTCTGTAATACTGATCAGTATTTTCGTATTTCTTTCATTTTATTCCAAGTCTAGTATCAATTTCATGCTAATTCAAGCTTGAAAAAATGTCGTAATATCTGTTAAATAGTCAATATATAAAATGCAAATAGATCGCTAAGAACTATGGAATTCCTATTA